TACTAGTCTCATCCTTGAGTGGCATTTGTTTCTCTATATACACTGTCGGAGAGTCTCACCATACAAGTATTTAATAATTGTATTTTTGGTCTGCCCCTGCATTAGTTTCATCTGTTTTTACATAAGCTGTCATGTAGTCTTTCCATAACATTGCTGACTGTACTTTTTGAGTAAAAGGATTCAGATTCACTAATTAATAGCTCTGCAGGTTTTGTTGTTGATGTCCTTGTTTGATGCTTCCATTCAATTGATTATCCCCAACCAAAAGCTTCTTCTAGAAGTCAGCTTATGACTTAATTCCTACAGTTGTTTCTTTCTTTTTCTCTTTTCTGATTTTTCTGACTCATCAGTCATCCCTCAGATGTAAGAAAACATTAGGGAAGAGAAAGGGAAGCAAAGAGGTCTGCAGGATAGAAAGTAAAGTGAGCAGGCAGGGAGAAAACTGAAAGACTGAAGGAGGTGGAGGGAAAATACAGAGGGGGGAAAAATAACAGCAAAGGAAGATCTAGATAAACCAGTATGAGAAAAATGGTGAGGGTCACAATAAGAAAAGAAATAAGAGAAAGACATGAAGAAAACACAAGAGTTACAGATAGTATAACAAGTAAGTAGGAAGACAGAGACAAAGGGGAGACAGAAAACAAATGAGAAAAAAAAAAAAAAAAAAAAAAAAAAAAAAAAAAAAAAAAAAAAAAAAAAAAAAAGCCCTAGGGAGATGATCTGTATCAGAAAGAAGGTTTTTTTCTAACCAAAATTGGAGATGCAGAGTATAATGGGAAACACTACAGATCAGTGTACAGGGCCTAGGACAACAAACAGAAGAAATATTTTACAATAAATGAGCTCAGAGTGAATAGAGCAGTTGTGCTGCTGTATGCTTTAAACAGCAGAGGAGTTGAAAGTTACAATCATTAGTCCAGCATTCATTTAAAATGTAAGCAGGATGCTAAAAGGCATCAGCAAAAACTTATATGCTGTCTTACATTTTATTTTTCTACTGTAAGCTCTCCTATAACTTCTATGTGGCACAGTGTCCTCAATAAGGAAACTAAAACAGGTAGAGCTCTGCTGTAATCACTCAACAATATATGGTAAGAGCAAAGGCTCACTTGGCTATATTGCTTCTGATTGTCTTCCTACTTTGTGCCAAGATGTAGCCTGCCTCATTCCTGCTAAGCATTATAAATATTTTTAATGGAAATGGAATACACATCAGAAGAAGTGATGTTACTGTTTTATGAGACACTAGTCAGACCTCACGCTTAGTTGTGCTCAGTTTTTCCATTGAAAGGCTATTATTGTACCTCTTAATGGASAAAATGAGATAAATTCAGCTTTTGAGATAATTTCTTATGAGGCATGTTGGCATATTGGCAGATGGACTGATTCGAAGTGAAGCACCCATGCATATGATAGGTAGAATAGTCTCCAACAAGGAGAAAAGTGCACAGTTGCTAAATGAAATCCTTTGAATACTCTGAATATACTGTACAATTTGACAAAACAGTGGTTTTTATGATGCTCTTAACGCATAGTGCTTTGGTTATTATCATTATGCTCATCTTGCATAGGGAAAAAGACACAGTGACTTGACAGAGGGCACTTAACGAAGTCAGTGCACAGCCAGCAATGATTCTAGGAATTAATGTATCAGCTTGTTGTTATTAAATCTCCAATTAGCTGCAACTCACCTAGGGCTTAAACTCAACTTTCCTGTCACTCYCTTTATTCATTTACCAGTCTAACCAGGAAAAACAACAGTGGCCAAGCCTGCTTAGGGACAGGTGCTAATTTCCGTTTGTGGCACTCTCTTTGAAGCTTGCCTTGAAAGRGCAACTCGCACATCTACACTCTTGGCTGTGCTTGAGAAAAGACATAATTTTAGTCCCACTCTCCTTTTCTGTATGTACATGGTAGAAGAGTTTGGCTTTAAGCATGGTTATGCATCTGAGCAATAGGTAACATTTGCTTGTGAGGGTAGTGCAGTGCCCTTACAGGCATTTCCTAGCTCCTCCTTGGCAAATGCAGCAGGCCAGATGGAACTGTTCCTTGGGCTGCCAGTTGGACCACCCTGGTTTGTACCAAACAGGATTTTAAAAAAACCCAAGGGGATGGAAAAAGTCTGAAAAGTAGCAACTAAAAATAAACAGGAAATGTAGGCAGAACTCTTTCACATGAAGTGCCGTTAAGTACATGAAATAGAATTGCCCAGTTAAGATAATCAAAATGATGGATTTAAGTAAAAACACCAAGGAYGGTGAAAATAATGCTAGGGCAGAGAGAAAAGGAAGAGTTACACTTAAACAAATAATCCTAAACATTCACAGCTACAACAATGCTACCACTAGAACCACCACAAATTTCTTCAACGTGAGGTTAAAGAATGTCTCTAAGTGTAGGATTTCGAAACTCCAAAACAAGATTCCTGGAACCTTMAATGGAATTCTTTATTTCTGATTGCAGGTATGTTTTGTAGTTGGATGTTTTTATTCCTTTAAATTATAGCTTTGAAATACTAAAACCCAGGCCAAGTAGATAATGGAAGCTTATATTCTGTCACTTGTACTGCGTAGGCAAGAGCAGTTAGACAAGAGAAAGTTACTGAATAATAAATTAAACAAAACAAAAAAACACATATTATCCAATGTCAGTTCTTGAGACTTAATGGAGATTTCTTTTCCATATGGATATGAGACGTAGGCTGCCTGGGACAAAACGCTATTTTCAATGCATATTATTTAATGGAAATGTAATGCCAAATAGAAATAACAGTACCTACGATTTGATAGTACTGTTTTGTTTAAAGCTAGAAAAATCAGAAGATACTCTCAAACATGTATGGCATAATCCTGTATTGCTAGAACAGAGCGAGATGTTCTACCCATGACCTTTTGCTTCTGCAGACCTTAAACAAGCTGCAAAACTACTTTCTGATCATGGTACTTAATAGTCATCCAATAAAATAATAACACAGAAAATAAAGCATACATTTACTTCACATCATACATGCTAATGTTAAGATGGTAAAAAGCAGCACCACGCTGTGCCTTTTCTGTATTTCACTGGTACAAGACTGTGAGATACTAAAGACAGAACCTTTCTATATTGGAAGTTTTGCACAAACCTCAGTACCAAAACCCTTTGGTAATCTAAACAGTTCCCATCCCCCAAAATGTTAACATARTGAAGCACAATCAAGATAGATTATTAAGCAGTACTTGCTAGGATAAACTGCAAACCAATATAYGCTGCAGGATGTGAGGCTTAAAATGTCTTGCTTTCCACGCAAGGTGAATCCCACTGAATAGAACTTTGCTCTCCTCTTTCCACACCACCTGACTATTATCCTCCTCACAAAAAGGATACTCCTTTCCTGCAAGATATGCAGAGCCTAAGCATCCAGGACAGCAAACTGGAGAACTRTCACTCCAAGGTCCTTAGGATTTGGTGAAGTGTCTCCCTACGGTTATAACCAACATCACAGGAAGAGTCCAGGGTATTTCTATAGCATCTTCAAAACAGCRTTTTTTTAGCTGTTTGTCTCTGAAGTGGTGCCATAAATAAAAYAGTGATCACTGTCTCTCAGTGGTTATGGTTATACACCAAAGCTCTTAGGTTYGCAGTACAAACAGTACTGGATTTCTTTTTAAGTTTCAGTGCTACAAGTATAATCTGAAAATGATATTATATTTTTTCTAGTTCTACTCTGCCTTGCAAGTAGTAGCAATATAACTATACATGTAATTTAAGAGCATGAAGAGAGAACAGTAATTTGCTTTTGCTGGTAAGCAAAGGGGACATCCTAAGGTCACTCAAGACAGATGATATAAAATGAGATCCTGCTTTGGGTGGCAGTGCTAAACTATCCCACCTTCATTTCTTCTGCAATCCCACCATATTTCAAAATTCTAAAAGAATCATACAACAGATATAGCACAAAGCATTTTTTATTGTTTCATGAAGGAGAAGGAGGAGTCGTCTTTCAGAGAGGGTCTGTAAGGTCCTTACAGAGAGTCTGTGGGGTCCTTACAGAGAGATCCTGGAGGAGTTAACCCAACTGAGATCAACCGATATATGGCACTCTGAACCAGCTTCTCTTCTATGAGCGGTTTTTGATAAGAGCCTGAACAACATGCTAGGCAGTCTTAACCCAGAATTTCCATGACAGTCATCTCACGTCAAGTCATCTCAGATCAAGATTTTATCTCCACTACAAGTTTTAGCAAAAGTACTTACTGACTTTAATGAAGCACTGCCATTTTCACAGAACCCCAGAACGGTTTAGGTTGGAAGGCGCCTTTGGAGATTATCATTTTACTAGTTAAAATGTTAAGAGCATGAACTTCTCACTAGGTTAGATTTTTTTTCTATTTTTCTGTAACTGAGATTTTTCTTTTTTTTCCCCTCATAAAATGTAATCTGTAATCCTTTACCTAGGATTAATCACATGACAAAAACAGGAAGTCTGCTACTACCTAAAAATATTTAATTGACTACCAGAAGGTATATTTATTTTCTGCCTATGAAACACCACTCTAATAAATATTCCTCCTACAGTCTGTATACATTCATAGTTTCTCTTAAAAATACTCTGATATTACTCTGTAGACTACTGTAATAGGAATTACATTACAAAATCAAGCATATGTTGTCATTTTGCTGGCAACATACAAATTCAGATAAAATGAAGGTCCAAGAGGCCTAAAAAAGATTACAAATATAGTAAATCAATTCAGATTATAAAGGTTCTTACAATATTATAAACAGCTTTCCATTTCATTATATGCCTCATTCTAAGGCACAATATCTTCATAGTAATCATTACATTTCCAAAAAGCTAGGTATTTCAAGATACTCTTTCACCTAGAACAGCATATGAAATTAAAAATAATTTTGATGTACATTTTACCAGAAATCCAATATAGGTCCTGCAAACAGTATTCTGTAGTAATATCTGTAATCTTCAGTGGCAACCAAAGTTTCTAGAGAAAATTAATTACCCATTCTCAGTATGAAACATCGATGGAGTTGGCGGTGGAATCATACTTGGGTCACAGCACTCCTCACCATCTCAGCCAAAATTCATGAAGCCAGGGGGTTTGGCTACCTGTAAAACAGTGATATCATCATTTCCAGTTGTCTCCTTTTTAAGAAATGTAAACAAAATCACCAACCAACACAGCTCTTTGCAAAGCTGTATTTCCATATGGAAAACAAATTCAACAAATAGCAGAAAAGGCGATTATGAACAGAAGAAATTTTCAGCAGTCACTTGTATAGAAATATTTGAGTATTCACTCACATCTGACATACTGATGCAACAGAACCTTAGTTCTTTTCTCTCCTGTGGATACCAAATATTTTCAGATGTTTATGTATAAGCAGTCTTAAAGCAGTAAGCCCATAGGATAAAGTACAAATTTTATTATATTAAAAGTTACTCAGAACACAATGTTGATGAAAAATAAATGTTTATGATGTATATGACAATATAATTATATAAACTGCAGTGCTACAGCCCTTTTCCAGTTGGTGGATTCTTCCTCAGCAATACGTGACTGTGTCTTACATGCCAAATGATACAACAACACTGTATTCGCATTTAAACACTATGGAAAGCTCCAGCACAGCCCAGATAAACCATCTTCCCAGAAGGTCTTAGATAGTTCAGGAAGCAGAATACAAGAAAGATTTTCTATTATAAGCAGTTCTTAGCATTTACATAGTGCTTTACAAGTCAGGTCACTAAAAGAGGACATTTGTCTCTGAGGTTTAAAAATAAATGCTTTCTCAAATAAAAATCAGGCTACCTTAGAACCATTTCTGTCTCAGAGCTAACCAGTGGTATTCATTTTCCATTTATTTATATATTTTTATTTTCTTCAAAAAGAAGATCTACTATAAAATAAATGTATAAAGTAATCAATGAGTGAATTTCTGCCTACTTTGAGAAATGCTATTAAAAGCCATAGTCAAGACATTTAAATGGTACATTGGGGGATGTCAGAAATCCATCCATTCCTAATGGTAGTGGGCAGGTGACCTCAAGATACTGTGTGGACCATCACTGGAGAAATCTCTAAACTAAAGATCAGTCAGAAACCATAGAACCACAAGACTTAGCCCATCAAGGCCTTTTTCTAGAAGTGTCCCATGTGAGAAAATAAAAAAACTCAAAAAACAATGACTCCCTCCCTGTAGCAAACCAGAAAAGATATGTAACTCATTATGCCATCTGCTTCAAATCACAACATTTTAAAGATCGTGTTAAAAAATGACTATTAAAACTTTTTTAAACTCCATTTCCTACCCCAAAATACCAGGAACTTTAGAAGTATTACCTGTCCACTCAGCTATGTCAAAACAGTCTAATTCTGAAGTCTTCCAGACTAGTTCATTGACTTCTTGGTACAACAGCACTCTGYGGGAACATGCAGCTGCCACTGAGAAGAGCTTCCCAAAGTTTTGTCTGTACAGATTACCTACTCCTGAGACATAAAAGTGCCCTTAATGTTACAGCACAAACCCTTCAGAAAGCCATGCTTGGTGGAGCGATGCACAAGCCTCCCAGAAGAACTGAACAGTCAGTGTAAGGTTATATAAAAACCCATAGGTCCAGAGGGAACAACAACCCACACAGTCCCTCAATTCCTTCAAGCTGTCACAGGCACTAGATCAGATTGTCCTCTGTGCCTTCCTCCACCAAGTATATTCAGGTAAGTTTATTGTAAAAAGTTCCACTAAAAGTATAATGTAAGTATCTCACATTTTGTATTAGAAGAGTATTGCCTTGGGAACAATGAACTGAACCTTGAGTTTCCAAAAAGAGTTGAATCGCAGCATGAACTCTTTTGCCTTCAACCCATACTTGACTGATTTGCTAGTAAAATCCTGCAACCAGTCCATGAAATACACACTGTCCTGCAAACACTGCATTCTCATATTAAAATGTATTCCAGTTGAAGGACCTGAAAAAATAGTCCCAAACTGTCAATTTTTACAGAAGTCAATGTTGAATCCAGTGATAGCAATATTCTATCTGTGTGATGACCCCTACCCATTAATTTTGTCCCGCAACTAGAAAGCAGTGTGTATCTTGTACTATCCCTCAAACATTATGATCCCTATTTTAAATCACCACTTAGGTCCTACTCTATATAATTACATGGGGAATAGTAGAGGTTAAAATGCCAGAATCATGATGACTTTAAATCATGTTTTGCCAGAATCAGAATCAAATCTCTGCAGTAAGGGTTAAGTGCAGTCTATTAACCTCAGTCAGACAACATCTAGCCTGCAGTGACCATTCCTTGGGAAATGAGGGATTCCCTCACATCTGTAATGAATTATGTGGAGCAGTACAGCTCATCCTTAAAGTTCACTTGATTGTGATTGTAATACATGCCTTAAGGTTAGGATGGAAGGCTTAACTCAATCGCTTGATTATACAGAGAAATTCAAATCCTGTAGAGGCTAGGCTGCATGTAAAGGTTCTGGGACTGAGGACAACTCATACAGACATCAGGGACCTTCTAGTGCCTGTCTCATCACGGGCAAACCGCATTCAGACAGACAATATTCGTGAAATCAACTACGTATCTTAATAGATCTCTTATTATTTCATAGCTGCTAGCTCAGAAAAGTGCTATATCCACTACGAAACCTCAACTGTTGCTCCCTGTTACTGGAAATGACCTATCATACATAAAGTTTAATCAATGTTTGCAGTATAACTGGACAACTAGAAGATAGTGAAGTTGGATTTTTAATTCTTCATACAGATTTTCATTTAGAGAGGTTATGCTAAAAGTGAATATGAACAGTTATTGCTTCAATCACAACAGAAGAGGGCTCCTGGGTTCCCTGAAGAATATTTTTGTGTTGGATAATAGCCAAGGGCTGCTCCATCGACTATGGAGGATAGCTCCTACACTGGCTATTGACTTTGATTCCTGAAAATAAATGAGATAATAAAAACGAGCACCTGATTTTCTGGTAGCTTCTGACACATTCATGTCACTTTTGGTACTCTGTCCTTCAGTTCTGACAATAATTCAGCCTTAAATTTGACTCGTGGTCTTCTTAAGTTTCCTGTTCTAGGTACTTCCTTGCATCAGGAAAACCTGAAAGAATGAGACTATTAGCACACACAGAACATGCAGAATATTCTTTTTGCAACCATCAACTAATAGGGAAACACACAATAAACTAGAAGGTTTCTATTAGAGTCGTTCAGGAACAGATGGTTCCCGCATCTGCTACTATGTCTCCTATCCTTGCTTATTTATTTATTTTTTAAAATATAGTTTGGCCTTAAGTTCAGTTGAAGTTCATCTGGCATCCACATCAGTTTACATCTTTATCCAAGGATCATCTTTGTTCATACATCTTACAGTCAAATGAAAGAAATGATTCACACATTGCCACCTGCGTGTGAACCTACCACCTACTTAGATTTATTTCTCACCAGAGTTAATGTAGTCTTCATCTTAAGGTTGTGAAGAATGTACACGGTCTGTCCTTTAAAGACCGCATTTCTGGCATAATAATATCAGCCAGGAGGATCACAGAGTTCCAAACCTAACGTTTGGACAGCGTTCCATGCGGATAAAGTAGCTTTATGACCACATCCTAAATTCCCAGCCAAACTGGTGTCTACATTTCATTTTAATTACAGCTAAGCTGAGCACCACTTTCTTATTAAAGATTCATTGTAGTAAATAATCTAAAATCCACCCGCTTGAAATTTGCTGTTCATCACAAGAGGATGAGGGATGACTAGCGGGCCAGACTTGAATGATGAGTTCCCCTGAACAGCCTCTAAGCTGAAAGAATTTAAGAAGAACAGCCATAAGAATTAGCTGTTTACAAAATCTTCTACTTCCAACTTTTTCTGTGCATGACTGGGACCCAAACTATACATTTAATCCTCCCCTGACTGATTTCATTCAATCAGGATTTAGGTCAGCTAACACAAAACTACCCCAGTGCTCCTTCAGAGAAGCAATATTTAGGGTAAAATTTCCAGCTCCAGGTCAGTGCAGGCTAAATGGACATTTCAAAAAGATGGTACTATGTATGTCTTGCACTAGTATGGAGAAGACATCTAAAGATGTACATGAGCTTGCAGAAGCACATGCGCCAGAAACAGGAGAGAGCTTTCAGCACCATTCTGCTGTCATTTAACACAAGCCAAAACATCATTGATTTTGTGCCTGGTGCTGGCATATGTTTGAGAAAGATTGTTAGGTACTGTTAGGTACACAGATAATTTCCACCACATGCCAGTGGATGTTCTAGTTCTAAAAGTCAAGTGTGGAAGACCATATATGTTTGAGATGAACTCTTGGGTATCTTCTGAAATATAAATCATTCTGCTGAAATCAGTAAAACTTCCTTCTAAAACCTAAATTACACATCTAAATAATACACATAGCTGCACGTTGTTCTAAGAAAATATGTAAAAACAGATGCTGATTTTATTGTTATTTTCTTTCTTTGGGAGAAAGGCTTCTCCCTGCTTCAAAAGTAGCCTCAAAGAGCATAGTTAATACAGAATACAAGCATTATGTACAGCAATGCTGTATATGGTGCCTTAGCATGTATTACGCAAATCCTGTTATAGAGAATTTCCCCAAGCAGGACTTCCAAATCAAATATGAATTCACTCACACAGTCCTTACATGTAACACAGTCAAATGCACATGCACTTCAGCAACATGGAGGAAGAGCATGGAAGCCTGTCTGACACCCCAGTCACAGTCCCAGGCCTGCTGAGGCTTAATGCTGCCAGGCTGCAAGCTCCATCCCCATGCATGGCAAACAAAGAATACCAGGCATGACTATTTAGATCCATCATTTAGTTTTGTCATGCACAAACTCACATATTCAGAAATACCTTTATTTCTTCTGTAAGTATAAAATTTCCTCCTGTACATCTTATACAAAACGTTCCTGCAGAAAGCTGAGGATTCTTTCAACACTGCAGCAAGGGCTGGTACATGATGGGTAAGCTACAACTGACAGCAAAGCTTACAAATTCTGGTAGGAAGATTATTCCCTGGCAGCTTTCTTTGTCTCTTTGTTGCACACATAAAGAGAGAAATGCTGTTGAAGTGAATTACAGCAGGTAGTAAAACCATGCAGACCATAGGCAAGAGAGCCTCTTGAGTCTTCATTCCCTCTCAGAATRGTTTGCTTTATCTACCTTCTGGTTAGCTGAGCTTACGTTGCACAAGTGAACACAACTAATTGAGGGTTTGTGTTAGCAGCTGATATGATGTACTAAAATAATCTGTAGTTTATATTCCCTGATGGACCAATCAACTGGGCCTAAAATCAGCCCAATACTGCTGTTGTAACCAAAAAGCAATCAGTTTTTTTTGAAGTCATGTTTAGAGCCTGGACACATTGGTTTATAGTCCCAAATGATCCGGGTGGTTTCAACCGGTTTAGAGGATTTCTGTTAAGAGCTTAGGGAAACTCTGTGGTAAAGATATACCCTTAAAACCTGTCTGTGACTGTCTGGGTACCTATTTTGCCATAAAAATATCCTAACAAGTCCTGTTCATTCATGTTACACCAGCTTTCACACCTCTTATTTGTGGTATGCAAAAGACAAGCAACATGTTATTCTCAATACTGTAAAATGGTGTGACCTGTAGTATATAATGTATAGAATCAACTAGAAATGCTCTGACCAAACTGAAAAATTATGTTACATCACAAACAAAAATATAAGCAAAAATATAATGGTTTTACAAACTTCTAACTAACCACAAAATATTTTAATGGCACCATTCCAACAGCTTTCCTTCAACACCAGAGAACCTGCTCTAGAGAATGAACCTGGAAAAGTCACAGCTGTGGGGAACTCCTGCCATAAAGACTGTCCAAGAGTCAAAGTTCCCAATATTCCTGTTCTCTACCTTGAAGCCTTGGAACTCTATCTCTCATGATGCAACACAGAGACAGGAGAACCTCTTGACTTCACTTCTGATGGACTATCAGAACATTCAGACTTTCACCCAGCAACTCTAGAAGGATAGGGGTGTAGAGAGCCAAAAAACTCCATTGAGATTCCTGTTCAATTCGCTGCTCCAATTTTCCAGATTCCTGAGCCTTTGTACACCCAGTTGCCAGGGAAAGAGGGAGATGTGTCCACTGCATTTCAGAAGCCATAGCTAAGAGCTTGAACTCTAAAGCTCAGTTCTGTTACAGAATACTCTATTTTGACTACTTTGGAAAGATATTTCTACTTTCTTTTCTGAATGAAACCTATAAAATTTTAAATGTAAGGCCGTTCTTTTTTATTCAGAATTGAATCTGGAATCCAGTTTTGAGTGTCTATAATGGAGGACTTATGACCATTTCTTGCTGGTCTATGATATACAGTTGGCTTCAAAACATGTCTCGTGTTTAAGAAGAGTTCTTTAAATAACAAGAATGTTAAAATGGACTCAATAGAAGTATAATGTTGATGATTCCGCACTCATTTTATCTGACAGTGATAACAAGAATGTTAAAATGGACTCAGTAGAAGTATAATGTTGATGATTCCGCACTCATTTTATCTGACAGTGAAGTCATTCTTAAAATAACTTTTTTTCCTAACAAGTTAAAGGACAGTGTAGAACTGTGTTGGAGAAGTCCAGCCCAAATGCCAGCTCAGACAAAAGCAGAGCCACTCTCTAAGAAATGAGGTCCTCCTGCTTCACCTAGTTAAATCTCTGACACCAAACAGTGATCCTTCTGTTCCAATATCTCACAGACACAGATCAAGGCAAACATTGATTTGTCTCCTTGTCTGCTCCAAAGCTGCATGTCAACTAGTCTACAGAAAATACTTGGTTAAAGAAACTATCATGTACTTTAAAAACATGGAAAGGAAAAAAGGATTAAATCAGATACTCTTTCACAAAACCAATTTCTAGTCAGAGGTTTTAAAGAACATTCAACCTTTTTCAAGTCTTGCTTATACATCTTTATATTCCTCTATTGCTACAGTGCTTGAAGTTTTGAGCACTTTACATTATACAAGATCAACAGAACATTCCACAGAATTTCTGGGAAATGTTTCCACCATAGATATATTTAAAATTTCTATGTAGAATCTGACTTTCACAAACTGTCAGCTCTTTCTGACTTTGGCAACTCGATCTGAATCCCATTTCAGGAAATCATTCTCTATTTAACGAATACACCTCAAACTCACCTCCTCTGAGAGCTGGTACAGGTATATACAGAAACGGATATTTATGCGGGCAGCACTTGAAGGAGGAGAAAAGGTTATTTACTAATAGCTATCCTACTTTGATCATATAGATTTATATTCCTCACTTCCTCTCTCCACTTCCCTGAGAGAGACAGGAACTGTGAGGACTAGGCCGCAGCTCCTCACAGAAATTTTCACTCAAGGTTTGTTTTTACAAGAGGGTATCTACCCTGGGGCCTTTCACAGAGCTCCAGTTTCCCATTCCAGTAAGGTACATGCACAACTGAAGTAGGGAAGCTAATGTAAAAATATGAGCACTGCCCCTGCTTACAGAGGGAAACAGGCATATAGACTACAGACCTTCAGCTAGGCATTTACATCACTAGAACATTGCCAGCATAACCCATTCTAAGGAGACTGCTGGGAATAAAAGTGACTTTATCATTATATTGTTATTGTGCTTTATAAAATAATCACTTTTACTTGACAGTGATCTATGTAATAACCCAGAGTAATAAAAACGACATAGGTATTGCAGTATAACTCCACAGCTACAGTCTTGCCAGCCAGGTTGCTTATGGCACAAGTCCCAGTACTATAGAGTAGTATTTTTTTCTGAAAACTATAAAGACAGAAAGCTATATTTCACACATCGACATGAGTGCTGGGGCTCATGCTGCACCAGGGTCTTCTCTCATTCATTACATCTGAGGTAGCTGATGCCTTGGTCGGGAGCTTCTTCAAACAAATGAGAGCCAGTAGTAAGACTAGTGGTGGTCAGGAGTTTAGGAACCAGTGTCCTCCAAGAAATGCACTAAAGGGGAAAGGAAGCAGTTTTTATGTCTGCCCCATGATTTATCTACTCAGTGATTTATCTGATGTACTCTTTGTCCATGCCAAATTCCGACTCAGTTCAGTGTGGACTGTTTAGAGATAGAGTTCAAAAGCAAATCTGAAGAGACTCATTTTCTTCAGTTAAAAATAAATGTGAGGAGAACAGTAACAGGCTGTAGTTTCTTTAAAACAAGATTGCCACTCATCAGGAGCTCCCTGTACTCCTTCCTTTTCCTCTTTCCTACCCCAGGCCTCTCTGGAGGCAAGGGATTTTTTCTCTATTTCAGGGCTAAGCACCGAATCCCCATAAATATCCCGGGGGGGGGACGGGGGGACTCTATTTGCCCCTTTTTCCTGTCTCCCTGAGTCTTGGTGGCTTTGGGTGCACCCAAACTACATCTTTTACTGGCAACTTTCCATCCCTTCACCTCCTGCATGGGAAGAAGTTAATATATCTCCTTTCCGTGCCRTAACTTCCTCTGCCCATCCAAAGGATCTGTATGGCTTCCTTTCTTGGGACCCCTTTCCTCTGCTAGAGCTGTGCCCTCACTTTTTTTCTCTGTCCCACTTTCCCATGGGATTGCCCATTCCCTCTTTGTTTTATCCTTCGGTACCTGTGTTCAATCTGTTCACCCAGTCCTGGACACTCTGGTGTTCCCGCTCTTCCCATTTAAAAGCCTCCCATTCTCAGCTCAGTCTGTGTACACTCACCCCTCTGCACTCTGCTTCCTGCGACCATTAGGAGCTGCCACACGTTGACTGCTGCAGTATTAATTTGCAGAATTTTAAACTCGTTTACGTTGGGCATAACCAAGATATGCGAGTTACATTGCTGAAGGACGCTGAGGAGAGCCAGCCAGCTGAAGAGTGCCAGAAAGGACGACGCTGGAGCTATGTGGAGAAGACACCAGGACCTAATCACACCTCACCAGAGCTCCCTGGGCGTCCCCTCATCAGCGCATGTGGCCTCTGATGTCTAGAACTTTCCCTGGAACCTCGCAGTCAGCAGGGGCTGGCAGCAAGGAAGCCCCAACGGGCAGCGCGAGCACCTTTGGCAGCCATTCCGAGGAGCAGTCGAGGGCCGGGAGCCCCGTGGGGCGCTGGGGACGGCGGCTCCCCACGGGCCGGGCAGCCGGGGCAACGCGCGGCGCTGCCCCCGCCGCGGGGACCGTTACGGGACGGGGCGCCGCCGCGGCCCCCGCGCGCCCAGTAACGGTCCCCGCGCGCGAGGCGGTTGGGGAGGAGGGAGCGCCCGCGCAAAGCGCGGGAGAGGCCGGCGCGCTCCCCTCCCCAACGGCCGCCGCCAACGGCCGCCCCCCGCGGCGGCGGCGGGGGCGCGCGCGCGGCCGGTGCCGCCGGGTGACGTGCAGGGCGCGCGGTGGCAGCACCTCCCCGCGCGCTGCTTAAAAAGAAGAAGAAAAGAGGGAGCGAAACATGAGAGCCCTAGTGAGCCGCAGCCGCCGCCGGCAGCGGAGGGGGCATCGCCGGGGCTGGCCGCCGCTCGTCCTACCTAGCGCACATCCTTCCTATGGGACGACAAGTGAAGCGCTGCCGCTGCCGCCGCTGCTGCCGCCGCCGCCCGCTGCCCGGCCCGCCCCGCGCCCCGGCGCCTCGGCGCGGCAACTGCTAAACCTGTGCCACTCGCGCAGCCCGGCCGCGCCGCCGAGCATCCTCCGCTGCGCTCCGCTCCGCTCCGCCGCGCCGCCGGGCTCCGTCCCGGGCTGCTCCTGCCATTTCTGCCCGCGTGCATCCTCGTTTTTTTGCGGGAAGCGCGGGTGACAGAAGTTCCTTCCCTCCTTAGTGCCTTTTTTTTTTTTTTTTTTAATAACCATCATCCCGCTGACTTTCCCCTTCGGGAGGTGATTTCGCTGTTTGAAGTGCAAAGAAAATCAGAGGGGCACCCCTCTTTTTTTATTTTTTAATTTTTTTCTCCACCCTCTCTTTGCTCTCCTTCCCCCCCCCCAACCCCCGCTTTTTTCCCCCCCGCTTCTCGGCGGGGCGCACCCGCCCGCCGCCCCGGGCCATGATGCTCAAGATGCTGCCGTTCAAGCTGCTGCTCGTGGCCGTGGTGCTCTGCTTCTTCGAGGGCGACGCCAAGTTCGCGGAGAGCGGCGCGCGGAGGAGGCGCTGCCTCAGCGGGGCCCCGCCGCGCCGCCTCAAGAAGCGCGAGCGGCGGCTGCTGCCCGCCGAGGCGCCGGGCGCCGAGGGGCTCTGCCGCGGCCTCTACCCGCGCCTCTCCTGCTGCGCCCGCGCCGACGCCGCGGCGCTGCCGCGCGCCCACGCCAAGGTAGGCGCCGCGCCGGGCCCCCTGCGCTCGCCCTGCTGCTAACGCATCGCGCCGAGGCGCTGCGCGGCCGCTCCGTGCCCGGCGCCGCGTGGTTTATTCTGGGGAGGGGGCTGCAGGCGCTGAGGCTACGGCGGGAGGAAACTTGGCGGTGGCGCCCGGGACGCTCCGCTCCGCGCGCTCGGTCCCCGGGGAGCCGGCGGGTGCCCGTGCCCCGCCGGGCGCGTCACCTGCNGACCCTCCGCGGGCTGCAGCGGCGCGGGCGTTGGGAAGCGCTGCACGCCACGGACACCATCAGGTGTCCCTTCCTTCCCACCCCCCCCGCTTTTTTATTCTTTTTTTTTTTTTTCTCCTTTTTTTTCCCTCCATCCTCGTTTAGGTTTAATTAAGGATTCCTCAGTTACGACTCTGCAGTTGTCAAGGTCTGAGAGACTCTCGGAAAAGTTGCGTTTCTGCCTTACTGGCCCGGGCATAAAAAAAAAAAAAAATAGCCAGCCTGAATCGAATTTTTATGCTCGGTTCACGGTAGATTTCACTCCATTCTCATGTAAACAGCTTCTACGAATCAACATATGTGTCTGGGTGGTATCTCTCACTTTGTTTTGTAACAAAAAGCCATATTGCATCATTTAATTTGCTCAAGTCATGCAAATAGGAAAAAATCAATAGGACAAAAAGGGGTCGACTTATCCTCCTCCCCACTAAACTGCTGCCCACACACAGAGTCCTGTTGCTTATGGCAAAAGAATAACAACAACACCATTGTGTTTGTTAGTTGGTTCACTAATGGGTGAAACTGGAGAACATCATTCTCCTTCAGTCCCCAGCTCTGTCCAAATGTTCATGCCTTTTGAGGGAGCATTTGTCCTACCCCCCCCTATTCCCAGATGAGTGAGAACTGTCTTGCTGCAGGTTTTCAGCTGCAGATCTCTCTTTATTCATACCATATGCAGCAGCAGTTTGAGATTCAAGGCAGATATATTTCTTCATGTTGTCTAGAGACGGCGTCATTAAGCTCCTGTGTGATAACTGAATTAAACTATAAACTAACCACACACAGATAACCTGAATGATCTAGATGGAAGAAAAAAAAAAAAGAAAAAAGAATACAGACTGGAAAATATGTCCTTAGTTCACCCTATTTGCAATAGTTCAGTAGCATATATGCTACTGAGATTATTCAATGCATGGAGACCCTTGTACTAATTAGGCTCAATGTAGTAAATTAAAAGTTGAATTTCAGTCGGTTTTCAATTTCCAGGCAGTTGTAGGGTTTATTCTCCTTTAATTACTTGAAAATGTTTTAATTCCCTTTGGGTTTTTTTTCACTAATGGCATTAAGACCTCATCAAAATGTGAAAAACTTGACTATATATCCCATAATATGTATTTCTGAGCTGTTGAACCTGTTTTGTTAATACGAATATAGCAGAATATTATTTTACAGGATTTTAAAATGAGACTTTTTTTCACCAAAGGTTAACAGTGATGACACTCTCAGATCTGCTTTATCATACCAGTAAGTTTAGAAAAGATGTCGAAGTATGTGACATTTATACTTAGCAGAAGGTGGTGGCCATTCCATAAAAGACATTAGAAACTATTACGTAATACATTTGAATGGAAGTTTCAAAAGCACCTTCCAGCAGAGCAGTCTGTAAGCTGCTAGGGGTCCAAAAGCTTTTTTTTTTTTTTTTT